AGGAATGCCCAGTTGTATTGCTCTATATGGCAAGTTGGCAAACCTATCTACTCAAACCTTTGAGAAGGACTGGATAGCAGAGTGCTTTTGTTAGCGTTTGAAAGAACGCGATATACCTTTTAGTAGCTTGTTGTAGTAGATCTTGGAGTAATTGCTGGAGGTCTTCAGTAACTTTTTTTTTTTTTTTTAATCCTATTGACAACTAAAAGAAAGACAAAGTGTAGGCTGTTAGTTTCAACAGTGCCGCTGCATGTTCCTGCATGTTGTAATCATTAATGTATTTTAAAATTACAAATCTTTTGTCCTTTGTTTCAAACAGAAATGCTGGCTTGGGTGTCTGTTCCATGTCTTGCAGATTTGGAGGCGTTTTGGCTCCGTTTGTGCCGTCTATGGTAAGATTGTTTTATTAAAAATTTTATTTTTTACTTCAAAACTCGATATTTTAAGTTTTTTCAAAAGTATTTTGCTGATTGTGATACATTAAATCCCTTGAAAAAATCCGTCTTTTTATGAGAAATTAAATAAAGTTTGTTTGGTCAGTTCCAAGAATTAATGAACAAGATGCTTAAAAATAACTATGTTATTCTTTTCAGAAAGAATCTAACATTCTGTGTTGCGTTAATCTGTTAGGGAACCGATCATCATATAATGCAGTCTGTGTTGCTAAGGTTTGCTCTGTATCTGAATACTTTTAGGCCTGCACACTAAAGAAGTTTTCCTAAGAAGCTGTTCCTGTGAAATCACATTTACTGTGTTTCTTTATGTGTAATTCTGCAAATACATGGGTAGGTGTGTGGGTGTGGTTTTGACTGTAGTTCATATGGATAATATATTTTACAGAGCAGGGAATAATATTGGGTTTTTACTGTGGATTTTTAATTTCAGAAATCTCTTGGTCCTTCTGTACCTTTCATGGTGTTTGGAATCAGTGGATTGTCAGCTGGATTCTTGACTCTCCTTCTGCCAGAAACACTAAATAAGCCAGTTGCAGAGAGCGTTGAAGATCTTCAGATTCCCAAATACCAAATGCTTAAAAACAAAAAGGCAGAGTAATTTTTTTTTTGGCTGTAGTCTGTGTTATTTTCCCTTTATCTTAGGCAAGCTATGATATTAGCATGTATAATATAAGCATATTACTTAGTTTGTGCATGAATAAACCTGAGCATGAACTTCGTTAAGCAGTCTTTCTCTTGCATTAAGTAGAGAATTAAATGTATTCCTTTTTAAGTTGTTTAGTGCCTTACAGTCCAAAAAGCTATAATTTTTCACTTATATGTATGAAATTACACGTAAGCCAACGCTGTTTTGCTAACTGAAGGAGAAACAAATTTTAAAAGGCATTGTAAAATAAGCAGGGAGAATAGATTCACTAACATGCCTTGTACTTTTACCCTAAGACAACTAAGAAAATGTTTCCTGTATTAGATCGTGCCTTTTTCTTTCTCGTGTTTCATAGTGAAATACAGTGTAGAGATATATATTTGAAGAAGTGTTTTATCCCTTATTAATCCCCTGGGTTAGAACCATTTGAAGTGTTTTGTTGTTGCGGATGCACACCAAATAAAACACTTGAAATGGGAGAAGTTTTGTTTGTTTAAACAGGCAATAACTGGAGGCCTCAAACAGTGTAGCTGGGATGGTTTAAAAATCACGTTGTCTTCAGCTTTTAATTTCAGAGTGTCATTATATTGTGACTTAGTAGTACAAAGGCTGCAAACCAATTTCCATTGTTTGTGTAAATTATAGTAAGAGGAAATCAAAGCCTTAACTTGTATAGCATCATAAACTTCAATGTAAGGAAATTGAAACTTATTTAGCTCATGATAGGAAATGTGAAATGCGTCTACGAATTTTGCAGTTGGCTTCACAAAGTATTTCCTGTAACAGCGAAAATGTTAACTTGGAAGTAAGTAGGCTTAGTATAGGTATAAGCGAATGCATGTCTTCATAGGCAAGCTTGTTAATTATCTAATAATTACTGTACACTTCATCAGTTTAATCGTATTACGAGCCCTTTCTGCTTATAGTAGTCTAATACATAGTAATCCTGCATTCAGTTGAAATGGTGGAGAAAGGAATAATTTCTGTGCTTTTTTGGAATTAATTTTGTTAAAATTGTTAAATCAGTGAATTTGGTCTTCCAAATTTTTGTTAGCCTATACGGTTGGATAGGAAAAATAAGATGTATAAACTGTTTTTTAATAAATATTTTTCATCTGTTTGACAGGTAAACCAGTCAGAAGAAAATACTTAAATTTCCAAAGGTGCCTCTGGTGAAAAATAAAGCTTCCGAGAAGGTGCTGTAACAGTTGACGGGCAGAGTCCTGATGCGTCCTGATATCAGAATGGGAATTTCAGAGGATTTTATGTATAATGCTATTTGCAGCATGTTGAACGGTTTTATGTGGAGTCAAATTGAGAAGATGGAAAAAATTGATCAAAGCTTGTGAAAAAGGTGACAAGTCTGTGCATTAACTTATGACTTACAAACAGACTTTGGATGTTTGGACTCTTCTACAACTTCTTAAAATGATGAAGTATTCAATTAATTTATTTTACAAAATGTAATTGTTAGCTTCAGATTAAGCTATAGCGTTGCAGTTGTGATATGTATAATTTTAACATTAGGTGGCCTTATATGTTCAGATAAGCTGTAATTGTGAAAAGTAACAGCACTCTCTACATGCTAATCTTCTCAAGACGGTCTTTTGGCTTTAAATTACAGTATACCTCACAGTATGAAGATACCAAAGATTTTTACAGGTTATTGGCCTTAGTGTGTCTAGCGTAAGAAACCTAGTCAAACTGAACGGGAGATGTGAAAGGGGAATAAATGCATTTTAGTGGGGGAGAAAGTAATTTTTTGATCCAGTTATATATGAAAAGATATATAAAGTTAAAAACAATACTATACTGGAAAAAAGATAACAGCTTTTTGAGTGTGGGGAAAAGAGTATTTAAAGGAGGAGATGAATACTTACAGTCAAAGGTTGCTGAGTTCTAGCTGCACCTCTGTAGCTAGAAATTATCAGAAATTATTGATATATATGTAATATATATAATCAAAGACTTTTCCTATAAGAACTGAAAATTTCAGTTGTAGGGAGAAAAGGAAAATTCTGGTTAACAGTTAATATATTTACATTTACATACAGATGCATCATGAATGTTAGTTCTTGATGGCTAGTACAATTTTTTTTATTAAAAATAAATTTATTAAATGTCTGTTATGAATGCTTCTTTCACTAGGATGTTTACCCAGGCTTTTTGAAGAATATTTGCATCATTTTGATTTTGGCCCATTGTTTAATGCATCTAATAAGAAAAGGCTGATGAAGTGCCTCTGCATTTTGAGTAAGTTTCACAGTTAGTTGATATTTCTGCAAATTAACAGGCACCCACACAAGTGCACGGGCATATGCATACATGCACACAAACGTATATATGTATACACAGATTGCTGTGCCTAGATGGCTCATGGAAACTTGTGCTATGTATGGGTTTATCAGTCTGCATGTGCTTTACAAATAGCCTGATCAGGTCTCAGAGAGATGAAAGTTAATTGGCCATCAGAACAGTGCTTAGATAATGTTAACATAGTGGTGGACTGTGTATGTGTGTGTTTAACCTCTGGGGCTGAAGTTTGACCACCAAAATACAGAATATGATGCAAACTTTTATCTTCTGATTATTGTTCCTCATTGTTTTTGTCATACTTCATTTTTGTGAGCAGTAGAAATGGGCTGATGAAAGTATTTCTGAATAATATTAGTATCTTCCATTCCATTAACATTTATAACCGTAGTGACTGATTATACCTCTGTGAAGGATAATGATATCAACTAGAAATAGTGAGGACCGAGTGTTGTTACTGTTGACTTCAGTTTTTTTGTGAGAAAAGAAAATGTGAAATAGCATATTTTAAAGTTGTATTCATAAAACAGCAACAAAACTCCGAACAGGAGTTTCCTGAGGCTGCTGTTATCTGTTGGCAGTCTATTTCCCCCCTCCTGCCAGATGTTAAATGCATTGCCCTACATCAGTGCATTTTTTTCTTTTTTTTTATTCCACGTCATTTAAAAAACATGAAACAAATATCACTTGTATTTTGAGCATGCTTATTTCGGTTTATTTGATGTGGAATTAATGAACTCTCTGCCTCGGTGGATTTTTTTTTGTAAATTTGATGGATTGATGGCCAGAGAGCTGTGAATCCTGGAAAGAAGTTAATGATCTCTTCAACAGCTCTGTTATAATACGTGGTACCTGCAGCTGCTTTTTTTTTATGATTGTAGACCAGGTTTGGCACATGGTTCTGGTATTTTGTCTCGAGCTCCTGAAAGAGAATAGGTAGGGAAACTTTCATTCTTGCTTCTTACCTTACCTTGGCCTATGTGCTTTCCTTAAGCTCATCCATGATGCAGGCCATCTAGAAAGGAAGTCTGAAAGGATTCTTCCCCCTCACCTTTAATCTTACTGTATTTCTTCCTGATAAGTGCTATTGTTTTCTGTCTTATGAGCTGAGCGGAGGCAGAGCTAGAGCATTCATTTATGCCACTTACCTTTTAATTGTGTTTCCCTGTCATTATGCAGTCTTTATCCTTTAATTCTTGGCCAGGTTTGGTTAAACCCCAATTTACGCCTTCTCAGGGGAAGAGTATCTGTTCTAAATGTGTCGGTCCCCAGGATTCCCCCGTGGCTCCTCTGGTTGCATGCATTCTTTTGTATTTCTTCTCCCTTGATGTCGTTCTGTAGCTATTCTAAGGGTAGGGTCAACACACAGTGCCAGTGGGGGTTCTGCTCACTCTACATATCCCTGACTTGCAAATATCCTCAGCTTTATTATCATCGGCCAGTGATTCCCCCCCCC